CTTAAAAGTGGGGCTGTTCCTTCCCTGTTTGCCTGGAATAACTTCACTGCACCGGCAATGAGAGAGTCTGCTTTCGAGAGGGCGAAGAAACGGCAGTTTGTCCTCTCAGAAAGCGAGCCAGGCTGAAGATGCTAATGCAGACCATGACTACATGGCACATCCACCCGCAGGTAAAAGATAGTAGTATATTATATATATTTTCCATGTAAGATAATTTCAGTAAAATATTACTATTGCTATATTATTATTATTATTATTATTATGATCACATAATAATGAAAATTTGAGATTATGTGGTTATTTATTTTGTGGAGAGATGAAGTCAATGGCTGTAGTGTATACATACATGCTCCGACTCACAACATGTATTGATCTTCACAGAAGTAATATTTCAAATATATAATTAAAACTGATTGCTAACCATATGTTTTGTTATTTTATTTTGTGGTTTTACAGGTGCACTTGATGAAGCTCTGGATTATATCAAGGAGTTGGAGGCCAGACTTCAAAAAGTGGATTTGTCTGCCACACTTTTTAGCCGCTACTGTGCCTCTGATGACCAGATCCGGTTCTACACCAAATTTCCATCTGAATGTGTATTCCGGATCTTCTGGGAGTCCATTGCACCCTCTTCATCATGTCTGGTGTACTGGACCAGAGCACAGAAACTTGGAGAGGAAGCATGTGCTGAAGCCAGCCCTGCCTGCTGCATGCCTCTGATTGATGAGTTCCTGATGCAATTCAGGGTAGCAGTGGGCATCAAGGAGCAGCTCATTGCTGACATGTTTCAAGTCAGCATAGCTACTGTCAGCCGAGTGACCATCACCTGGGCCAACTACCTCTTCACTGTGTTCTCTTCCATCAACCTGTGGATTAGTCGTGAGAAGGTAAAAGCCAGTATGCCTCAGAAATTTCTGAAGTTCTCTCCAAATGTCCGTGTCATCTTGGACTGCACAGAAGTTGCTCTGGAAGCGCCGTCATCCCTCACCTTACAGTCTGAAACGTTCTCTGCCTACAAGAACCACACCACTCTGAAAGGGCTGATTGGAGTTGCTCCCTGTGGGTTGGTGACATTTATTTCAGCGTTGTATACAGGCTGCATCGCCGACAAAGAAATAAAGAAGGTCAGTGGAATCCTTCCTCTGCTTGAGCTGGGAGATGAAGTCATGGCAGATAAAGGCTTCCTCATTCAAGACCTCCTTCATGAAGTTGGAGCCAAACTCATCATTCCACCATTTAGGCATCCTGGTCAGTTCAGCAAGGAAGAGACAGAGGAGACCCAGACCATTGCTCAGCTGCGGATCATTGTAGAGCGAGCAATCGCTAGAGTAAAGTGCTACCACATCTGGGATTCCCCTGTGCCTCTCACTTTAATAGGAACTGTCAATCAAATCTGGCACAACTGTTGTGTTTTGGCAAATTATCAAGGCCCATTTTTTGTTGCAGACTAAATTATTTCTGTATGTTAATTGTTGTAATGCTATGTAAAAAGTTAAATGTCTAGACCTTTGCAAAAAATATTCAATTAAAACACACTTTAGCAGCATACTTGACTTTCTTTCTGTATTAAGTTGAATTGCAAGGAAAACAAATCAAGTACAATTTACAATATCTAGTAAAAACAAAAAAAATCCATAACTATTTCATATTTTATAATTGTAGATTTAAAAAATACTGAAGACAACCTCAAGGAGAAAAATTTTAAAACATAAGTTTTAAGACAACTGCAGTTAAGAAAACAAATTTTTGTAAACTATCCAACTGCCTTTTAAAAACATTTGCACATCTCTGTATGTTTCATGAGTAACAACTATTTACAGTGATTCACACAGCTTGAGATTGGATATTTGAAATGCAAAGGAACAAAAGGGTTAGTTACACATTTTATAATTCTTGCATTGACATGAACATATCAATGAAGGTGTTAAAGTAAAATAAGTCCAGTTTAGATTTCATTTGATCAATGAAAGCCTCATCACGCCACACCCGCTCAACAGTTATTGTTGTTAGAAAGTTCTAAGATTGACGTAAGGGCAAAATTGGGCCCGACAATCGTGTAGTGTGAACTGGGCATTAGACGAAACTTATGAACTGTTTTATCAAATCTCCTATGTATAAGTAACATTCATTGATACTTTCTCTCAAGATATAAAACATCTGCCCCGTTTCAACAAGGGCAACAAAAATTCAACACTAACAACACCAAGAAATGTGTGATACACAACAATATAAAGTGTCAATGTATTTTATATTCAGGAGTTTTCTAAGAGAGTGACATTAGCTTATTGGAGAACAAAAGTGATTTCAAGATACTGAACTGGGAAAGTTAAGAGCAAATCATTTCCACATGCTGCCTAGGAATGCTGATTTGTAATTTTTTTTAAACTTTGAGACAGCGTCTCATGCACACAATAAATTAAGGAAAAATTATGTTACAAAACAGTTAACTAAAGGGAAGACAACACAAACAAGAACAAATAAATCTAAGTTAGAGACTTACAGAAATCAGCTTTTCTAACCAAACAACAATCACGAGTCCAGAGGAAACGCTTCTACAAAACTGATGAATGTAATTCTATGTTAAATATTATGTCTGCTTTCAGTTAAATGAGGTGGCTGTAAAAAGTCTACTTTGGCTCTTTACAAATGTCCAACACCTTTTTTGAGTTGTAATTCATTAATTTAATCCAGGCTAGAAAGTCTGCTACCCCTGCTGTGATACTTTTTCTGTGCAGTCAGGCAACATCTGATTTAATTAGACATTTTCAAACCCAAAGCAGGACATTTTCTACTGGTTGCTTTATCAGGCCAAGGATTGTCTAACTTTAAATTTTGAGACCAATTATTCAGAAGGAACAAAGTATTTATTGATGTTGTTGCTTTCAAGAACATGTATTGTTTTCAAGTTTTTCTTTCCAGTTGTGTTCTGGCCTGTGACATTCAATTCCACAAAAAAACAACTTGTGTCAGAAAAACCAAACGGATACAAAGAAAAGTACAGTCAAGCTCAGTGAAGGTTAATTAAGAGCTTTATGGTTGGAGCTCTGATTTTAGGCATTAGTGGATAGAAAAAATATTCACCAAAACAAAAATAGTGAAAGAAAAGCTTCCATTTTGAAATTGAATATCATTTTTTTCCAGTGAAGAGGAGGATGTCAGAAGTAACATTTTCTAAAAGCAGTAACCTGAAGATTTAACAAACTGTCACTCTGTGGAGAAATTTAAAGGGCTTTGCAGCAAGTCCAGGTAAATTGTGGTTCACTATTTCACAACTGACTGCTTGTGACATTGCTTAAAACATTGTAATTCTAGAACCGTTTTTGTAGACATGCTTTCTTTTTTTTTGACCAGCACCCATTAAGGTTCTCAATCCTCTAAAAGACACTCTAAGTGACTGTTAATAGATGCTTCCTCATCACCATAGGACACTTCATGCATCTCAAAATCTTCAAAAACTATTTTTCTTTCAAAAATATTCCAGTAAAGGTTTTGGGAGAAATTGCATAGAAATAAAGGTTTCCTTGGAAAAAGTCTAATGAGGTGATGTAAACTGGACTGGGATGCTTGTATTATTTGGGGTTTGGTTTCAGTTCAGCAGTGGAACTGCGGAAAGATTGTTTTTCACTGATTTCTCCTTTGATGTCTAACTTTCACAAGCTCTGTTGCACAGACTGAAAACACATGGAATGAATTATAGCTTATCAATTGTAAAGTACTGTTTACATGGATGGGTATCAGGGCTTCGTTCTCCACATTAACCTGCCATTTGGGGGCATGTCAGATTTTTTTTTTCTTTTTTTGGATGTGCATCTCTTCATTTTCACTGACCATTTTAACATAGAAATATACTTTGATTTGAATACCTTAGAGCACTTGGGCTCTGTACGTTCAATATTGTGTTCTGAGAAAAGTGAAATTTTAACTATGACCAGCTTCCCTAATCATATTTTGGGAAAGCAAGATGCTACCACTACAATATGTCACCATAGGATTGGTGTTTCTTTCTTCATGCTAAGCGTTTTCCATTACACAATGTGTTTTGAAGTGCTGCACGATATATCAGATCATACGTAACCTTACAAAACCATTTAATATTGCAACTTGAAAGGACAAGTTGGAGATAATATTTGACAAGTTACTCATTAACATTTGCCAAGCAATGCTGTTTGAGGAACAATAGGTTCAATTCCAATATTCCAATTCCAATATTTTCATAATAATATTTAAACTACAATCACAACTGCATGTTTTTGTTAGACCCCTTGTGTTTTTCATGTTGGTTAAAAAGTTCAATTTATGTTATGTTTGACCAGAGAACCTTTTTCCATTTGTTTTTTTGTGTCGTCTAGATGGCTTGTGGCAAACTGCTAATAGGGCTTCTTTTGGCTTATTCGTTGCCACTCTTCCATAAAATCATATTTGCGGAGAGCAAAACTAATAGTTGTCCTGCCAATAGATTCTCCCACCTGAGTTGTTAAACTCTAAGCTACCATGTGCCTCTTGGCTGCTTCTGTGATTAGAAATGTCCTTGCCCAAATTGTGAGATGTCCAAAGTTTGGAATGTTGTTCTAAAATGTTACTCTGATTTAAAATATTTGAAAACTTTCACCTTGAGGTTTATATTTTGTTTATTAATGTTCTCAAGCAAACCTAAGGCCATTGCAGAAATGCTGTGTTTAATTTACATTCTAAATTACATACAGTTTGACTTTATTAATATGGGTGAATTCAGGAGGCAAACATTTCTGATGGATTTTATGTATGGGTTTTACAATTAACAGTGCTTAATGAAAAGGCAATTCCATTTTTTTAAAGTTTGTATTTGTTAAAAAGTACTTCATTTTTTAAAACTATGTACATTTTCCGTGCCGTCTCACAATCATGCACAACCTCATGCTGGTCAATCACAAGAAAATCCTGACAAAATCACAACTGTAAATTGTGATGTGGAAAAAAAAGCATGGGTATGGATCCTTCTGTAAGCCACATCCTAACTATTGCTGATTGTGATCATTAATATTATTGCTCCAATGACATGGCAACAATGCACAAGCCAACGTGTACTATTGTTTAAAATATTACACTCATTTATCTGTTTCCAAAGTGAGCCAAAACATGAGACTATGAGAAGACTTTGCTAAGCCAACAGAAATCAGAAGAGAGAAGGAAATTGTTTTCTAATGGCTTTGAACCATTATTTCAGGGAGGATTCTGGCAGGGTAATTAAGGGTGCTGTCAGTGAAAAAGTAAAACCCTTCTGCTTTTAATGTCAAAGAAAGATAGAGAAGACTCTTCTTACCACAAACTGAAAAACTCAAATCTGTACTTGTTTGCTTTCATTCCTTCATTTAAACGAACAAAACCACTTTAAATCATCCATTTATGGAATCAGAAGTATGTGAAAACAATCAGCCGTTCACTGTGAAGGTTTACTGAGTTTAAGACAAGAATGTTCTAACAGGACCACTTACAATTCAAATGTTTAAAATATTTTAATTTGTATTTTGACACTATTTTTGTATTTGGAAACTTTGAGTTGTTTTATGACTATAATCAACTTCAATTAGATTTTTGCCTGTTAGTATTTATTTTTATTTGAAAATCTATTTAAAGACAGAGGGAAATTGCTTAATTGTTATTTATTCATCTGCATTTAGAAATAATCTACCAATTATTTCGGTTTCCAGTGAGAGATGGAGTGGTCTGCCTTGGTCTAAATGTCCTGAGTGCCAGATTACCAGCCTGTAGGAGTGTGTTATCTTCTCATGAAGATACATCAAGAATTGCTTCAAGTTATCTGTGATTATTTTCCACAGTTTCTATATGGTCAATTCTATTCATTATTTGATCACTGTCATTCCTGACATTGTTATGCAGTACTGGTTTCAGGCAGGACTAAAGTGTAGCCATCAGCTTTAAAATGCCAATTCCATGTCAAAATATGGACCTACACAGAATGCAACCAGAGGATCCAGTGGAGGACAATGTAACCTGGAAATCTTATATACACTGAGGGAAAGAATGGAACCAGAGCTAATTACAGGTGAGTGTGAGGAGCTGGACACAAAGCAGGCAGAGGTAAGTGGGGAAATGAGAAACAGCTGGGAAGGGGAGCAGAGAAAACAAAAGGAAAACGCTACACTAATATAATCAGTAAACAAAAAGAAACACTAATCTATGGAAACAGGCGCAGAGTACAAGCAATGAAATCATGAACTCAATAAACTCAAGGAATGAACTAAAGTAGAAAAATCTAAGAAAATAAACAATGAAGAAAGAGACAAAATTGAAGCTAATTTATTTCCTATCAGTGATTATTTTTTTATTC